AATACTGGGGAACGTCTCTCAAAATCGGGATTGAAACCAAATACCTACTTAATAACGCCCAAATCTCAGTTTGTCTTAACTGCAAGACGCAAGAGTCTTGCAGGCTTCAGTCTTGGTCTTGGTATTGCTACAATAAGGCGGTCTTGGTATTGGTCTTGGTCTTGCGAAAATGCAAGAACATGACCGATTTTGGGCAACACTAGCCAAAATGAGATAGCTCATTTAGTTATTAGTGCTATACCTACCAAAAGACAATTAAAAGTCACAAAAATCAACGAAAACTTACTTAAGAAGTGATTTATGTAAGAGATACGGCATTTTGCATACCCCATACCGTAAATACATACATTTGGCCAATAAATGTATATTAACAAAAGGTGATCGGGCATTTTATGAACATATAAGATTGTTCGTGTAATTTGCGCCAGTGTTCAGTGAAGTGTTACATCACTAATTGGCCGTAGGACAGTGACAGTGGCCTGATGAATGGAGCAAGCAGGAATTCAGTACGCGGAAAAAGCTAGACATTTGGTAAATTAAAAGTGTAGTTGGAATCTTATTTGTCTTTGAATCGTTTGTTTTTCATTAAATATTTCATTCAGTGTTTACTTATGAAACACTTTTATACAATATAGAGAAATTATTGAGGTTATAGTTTTTATTATTCGTTAACATTATTTTTTTTTGTTTTTGTTTTGTTTACTACGCTCATGTCGACGTGTGTCAGGCATTGAAGGATAATCAGTAATCACCTACTTGGCTAACAAAAAACTAATGTTCACAAAACAGATAAAGAAATCTGTGGCCGCAAACCTTTAAAGGTTTTTTAGCATTCATTTATTAACAGTTACTAAATACTTAATTAACTTACCAATCAAGCTAAAATAAAAAAAAACTAGATTAATTCCGATTTATGATTGATCTTCTATCTTGTAAAAGTTACAGCAGCCTACATTATAGTAATCGGTATATACTACGAAATGAGCAGTGTTGGCCTAGTGGCTTCAGTGTGCGACTCTCATCCCTGAGGTCGTAGGTTCGATCCCCAACTGTGCACCAATTGACTTTCCTTCTATGCGCGCATTTGATATTCGCTCGAACGGTCGAAAACATCGTCAGGACACTGGCTTGCTTTAGACCTAACATGTCGACGGCGTGTGTCAGGCACCTGACACCTGATTTCCTATCAGATTGACAAATGATCATGAAACAGATACAGAAATCTGAGGCCCAGACCTAAAAAGGTTGTGCCGCTGATTAATTTATTACTACGAAAAGAAATTCACTTACCAATGTGTTATGAAGCAATAAATCCAATTGTACATTATACAAGTATATAGAGAATATGGTTTCAGAGAAACTAATAACAAAAGTTAAGATGTGCACATAAAAGAAACTATTGAATGAACACGATTTAGTGTGACCCCTGGAGAGCAATAGATTTTAACTTTTGTATTCGCTTAAACGAATTGCGAGGGAGCTGGGCCGGATAGTTTAGTTATGTAAAACAGACCAATTTCTGTTCGAAACGATACATTAACCAATAGAAGCTCAACCACGAAAGGGTGTAATTTATTATTCACATGATATAAGTGGCAATATCGGTCTAGTTCCGTGATTAGACCAACACATTTGTGCTTTGGTATCGATTTTGACAAAAATATAACGGATTTCGCTCGGATTCGTAAGCTGCAGTACAGAATTGCATTTCATTTGAAGATTTCAACTTTGATATGACATTTATGAGATTGCTAGTTTAGAATAGATGGAAAAGATGTTCTACTTTCTATAGATGCGTCGTGGCGACATCTATGTTAAAATATGTTGAGTTAAATTGTATGGTTGACATATTCGGTTGCATATAACAATATTAAATGCAGGTTTTTATTAAATAGAAAGACAAAGTAATCATAGAAGGTCCTTATACTAGTTCTCTTGTGTCCAATAATGGAAACTATATAATAATTTAAAATTTATCAAGAGTAATTTTATTCCTTTAAACCAGATTTTCTGCTTTGTTTCGAAATAAGGGAACATATTTTTTGAAGTAAAACTTCATTAGGCGCATAAGGATAAATTTTTACGGAAACGTCACGAAGATGTGCAGCGTTTTTGTCGAAGAAAAGGGAGAGAGCGATTAAGACCGATGAAAGAGAGAGTGAGAAGGGCGAATTACCTTACAGAAATTCTATTTTTAAAAATAAAATTTCGTAAAGAGAATTTATGAAATATTTTATGCAAAATAATTTATTGAAATCTCATATAACGAATTGTAAATTAAAAAGCCACGTGTTTTTAGTATCGAAGAAATAAATTAAAAAAAATAATGTATAATTAAAAAAAAAACTTAATAGTTTTGACCCTATTATTCATAAATATATTTAACACAAGAATGTGTCCAATAACACTACTTCTTGTGTGTAACTTTTTTAAAACATCCTTTAAATTAACATAGTTAAACTTTTCGATAACTATTTGATATTATGATTAAAGTCTTTTGAAATGTTGCCATATTAACTTAAAAGGTCGGCAACGTACTCGCGAGCCCTCTGGCATTGAGAGTGTCCATGGGCGACGGTATCACTTAACACCAGGTAAGCCTCCTGCCCGTTTGCCCCCTGTTTTACAAAAAACAACACAAAAGACATTCGTGACATATAAAAACAAGCATTATACAAACAAATGAAATCCTTCTATATAACAATACATACACGGTCTTCCCGAAATATATACGAGTCCCAAGGGTCTGTACGCAGAAACAAAGAAGCAATCGTGCGTTCGAATAACTGCTGTGCACCAATTGTATTTTCTTTCTATGTGCGCAATTAGCATTTGCTCCTACGTAAAAATCGTAAGGAAACTGGCCCAAACCCAAAAAATCACTGATCACCTACTTGTCTATAAAAATGATCGAGAAACGGATGCAATTTGAGGTCAAGACCCATTTAGAGTTGTAGCGCCACTGGATTATTAATATTCCTGTTTATAAACGTTATCAAATCAAATCAAAATATAATTTATTCATGTAGGTAACTTAATGTACATGAACAATAAAATAAGGGTTCTAAATTTACATTTACTGCCAGTTCTCATTCAATTGTGTACAACGGTCTAGAAGAACTGGCAATAAAGTCTCCGTCACTCTTTTAAATTTCCAAGGCTTTCTTATACATCATGCTCCTCATAACAAGTTATTATTTGTTTTTTTGAAGTTATACTTCTTTAGGCGCGTTATGAAAAATTTATGAGAGTGAAATTTTACGATGCGCGCGCACCGTGACACAAAATTATCAGTATGGGCGCCGAGCGTGCGCGAGCGAGATGGGAATAAGACAATCTCCAAGTAAAAAGAAATAGAATATGCGTGACGTTAGCAGCTATGCCAAGAATTTTGAATGACCATAATGACATTTGTTGTACCTTTTAAACAAATAAAGGAGTTTTAATTATTTTTCAAAGAAGCAATGCTTTTTCACAAAGACCTATTGTTACTTAGTTAAAAGGTTATGAAACATACCTAGTTATTAAATTGAATTAATAATATAATAAAATAATAAATAATGATTATTATTAATTAAAAATTGAATAATATACTAAATATTAAATATTATTAAATTATTTACGCTAAATATTTTTTATTAATTATTTAATATTTAAAAAAAAATAAAGAAATCCAAAGAAGTATAACTTCTTACGCGCGTACATAAATAAGTACACGCACCATTTTTTTTATTTGTTAATTATTGTAATAATTAATAAATAAAAAAGCAAACGTTTCACTTATAGCAAGGCGCGTTGAATTAGTAGCATCCACTGACATTACTGTGGGAACAAGACGCAAACACGTAGTATCAGGGTGAGTAAAGGCAGAAAACTTTAATACATACACTTGAAATAGTTTTAATTAAGTACAACAAGGCTTAAAACAAATGCAATATTGTTTTATTTTATACAAATCTTACACCAATTATTTTGATATGATATAAAATCAATTAAGTAAATAAGATTAAAATATGAACTGGACACAATTATTTAAAGGAGGCAAAAAAATTTGATGTCATCTTTATTAATTTATTTTACTGTTATAACGGTTCCATTTAGATACACTCAATACCCCCAGGTCATCTCATAGAACGTGTAACATAACGTGTAACGTGTTGGCCTTTATTATAAATTCAAAACAATGATAATGTTAACAAAACCATAACGAAGAGTCATAACATTCACCTGCATATGAGAATATATTCAATCATTAAATACATTCGAACCTATCCTTTCACTACCACTTTAGTAGTGACGATTGTAAAATTATGAATAAAAAAAGTGCGTGCGTACAAAGTACACATGTCAGAAGTGAAACTTTTTTGGCAAACGAATTTTTGAGTCTTGTTCAAAACATTAAATTTCCGAGACTTAGAGGGAGGGAAAAAGGAAGATATGTTAGGTATTTAATGAATAGAATTGTCATTAAAATATCAAAAGTTTCGAAAATTAATACGAATTATATTTAAAAAAATATATTTATTTCTTCGATAATAATTCTCATTATTATTGTATTATTTATTTCTTTCATTTTAATTTACAATTCGTCATTTGAGATTTCAATAAATTATTTTGCATAAAATATAAAATACTAATATGTCATAAATTCTCTTTACGAAATTCTAATTTTAAAAATAGAAATTCTATAAGGTAATTCACACTTCTCACTCTCTCAATCGCTCTCTCCCTTTTCTTTAACAAAAACGCTGCACGCTTCTTAGTGACGTTTTTTAAAAATTTCACCTAAAGAAGTTTCACTTCAAAAATAATTACATACTCGTACACAGAACAAGTCTCTTACGCTCCGTGAATATATAAAAATATCGACGCAATAAGAAATAAGTAGGCGCAATTTCTTTCTGAGCATTTCTTACAATATGATAATGAGTTAATTTGAATTTGACACCAATACTATTGTATAATAAATTGTTTTAGTTCGTGTAAGATTATCGACGAAAATGGACGTACACTGGCTTTACTGTGTACTTGTTTTTCACAAACTTGTTTCGGTGAGAATAAATCACATTTAGCTTTGTTTTGTGAATAAATGGCCACTTTGTTGAGTGTTTTTGTATAGCATGTGTAATTGCTTCGTCGTTTATCGTTTTTACGAGTCAACTCTACAGTTAAGTTGTGCGCTAAATTGGTTGTAAACTGTTTTGTTAGTGACTTCAATTTAGTGGTTGTTTTATCTTAAGTACCGTATTCTAGATGTCATATTCTAATTGACTGAATGTAATGGGTGGTATTTTGTCATATAGGTGAGGTCGTATGAAAACTTTAGATATTTCTATACTATATATAAAGATCCCGGCAGCCAGGCGACGGCGATGATGTCATCCGCCGTCGCCTGGCCGCGCCTGGCCAACGAGAGATTCGAGTGGAACTGGAATGAGGAGGCCTATGTCCAACTATGTCCGATGGACAAACCAAAACCTGACAAGCAAATGATGATTCCTAAATGTTAAAGTGTATTTAACCTAATATTAAAAGTAAATTTTTTCAATTCAAAATCAATAATAATAATAATAATAATTTATTTTCTCCCATATAATATATTTTGCAACAAACAATAAGATGACAGTTGAGAAGGCATTGGGAGACTGGTTTCCAAACTAGGTAAGAACCTGTGATATGGATAACCAGGCTTCCATTCCACAGCAAAGTCATATTGAGTGGTTACAAGAAGTACAAGTATATGGGTAGATGGGTAATGAAGCTTCTATGCTCATAATTAAGTTTTGGAAATAAAGGTTATTATTATTATTATATATATAAAGATATCGATACATAATTTTAATATTAAACAACTTATCGAATTCGTTATTTTGTAGCAGTACGTATTAGTACTTTGTAGATACAAAATATCCCCTATCTTCAGTTGGTAGCCTTTGTCTGATTGTCATGGTCAGCAACAAAACACCTAGAGCGTACAATCAGGTAAAACGTAATAAAAACGGAGCATTAATTTCTTGTATGTCGACCTTTTGATTCAGATGCAATCTATTTAAATGATTTGATAATAACTTCCGCCTTGATAAATGAATAATGTTTATGTTTTTAAAATAATACTCTTCAGTGTTTTAACTATACTTTATATAATAGTAATAAATTCGTCTGGGACATTGTTGATATTCCCTTTACAATACTATTTTAGCATTTCTAAAAAATCCTAATTCTAGCGTTCAATCTCGCATTACCCATGGCTTCGAATATCGGTAATTCGAATTTCTTGAAAGGTTGATTGTTTCGTTGGTTAGTAAAGGTTAAATACGCTTTTAAGTACCTACTTTATTGTTGCTTTTCTAAAACCACTATTATAAAATTATACTTAATATATTTATTTAATTAATAATGAATTATCTATTTTGGTAAATGTGACCTTATGTGTTTACACTCACTTATCGCGAAGTCCATTTAATTGATTTGAAGTGTAAACAAACTTTAGCGGGAAGGAAAATCACGATTTTATTACTTATCACAATATTCTATGTATATATTTTAAGACAATTCACACCAATTGACCTAGTCCCATGCTAAGCTGGTGAAGCTTGAGTTATGGGTACTAGGCAACGGATATACATACATATTATAGATAGATAGACATATAAATACATATTTAAACACCCAAGACCTAAGCACAACACCAAATGCTCATCACATCGATGTTCGTCTCAGCCGGGGATCGAACCCTGGACCCATGGATTCGCAGTCAGGGGTACTAACCACTAGACCAATGAGTCGTCAAGTATTATGATTTAGGAAGTTGAATGATAATATATTAATCTAATACATTATGAAATAACTTATTTTAACGTTTTTACGGTAAATATCACTAAACTATCACACACAACGACCGTGCAAAAACACAGATTCAAAATAAAATGCCAATTTGACATTTCAATATTCTATAACCGTTGAAACATCGAAAGGATGTAATCACAGAGCTATAGCGTATATAATAATTTGTGATCTGTGAATGTTCTTAAAATATAATTTAATTTTTTTAGTAATCTTTGATTCGTACTTATGCAGCTTAGGGCATATTTTAGAATACAGTACCTATCCCAATAATAATACCTAGATATTAATAATATAAAATGTGTGGTTAATATTAGGTATATTTTATTGTTTGCATAACATTCAATAACCATTTACAATGTAAATTTGTGTGTTGGAAATAAATTATTATTATAAAAACATTTCAACCTTCATAACTTACATTCGTGCTATGATTTATGATTACACATCACTTCCATATCTTCACCTTGTCTCTGGTATAAAAGTACGCCACATTTGTTTACCTCTTGAATCAATTCAGAATAAATGGACTATACAAAACCTGTTACATTAACACACCCGTTACGTATTTTCTTAAGTAACAAAAAGAGATCAAATATTACAGATTTTTATAGTACAGGGAGAAAACGGCTGGGGCTCATCTGATGTTAGTGACCATGGACACTATCCCAGAGGGCTCGCGAGTGCGTTGCCGGCCTTTTAAGAATTGATGCGCTCTTTTCTTAAAGGACTCTATGTCGAATTGGTTCGGAAATTGTTCAGTCGGCAGCTGGTTCCATATAGTGATGGTGCGCGGCTAGAACTGCCTTAAAAAACGCTCAGTTATGGAACGACGGATGACGAGGTGATACGGGTTATGCAGTTGATACGGGATATAATGTTTGATTGATAGGATAAGTTGTGATAAGTCTTGCACCAAAGGCGAACGATATTCTACATATCTATCTAATTTCGTTGCAGGTATGCTCAAGTGAAATTTTGTTATATTCTTTAAATGATGGCAACAAAATACCGGCTGTAGCATTGGGAACCAGCTTAGGACATTTGGCAGACGTACGTATCAAACGTCACTTGGATGGCTTAGTCTTTTCAAAAAAAAATCTTTTTTTATTCAATAGCAAGTTACAATTTTAACAGGTATTCGAGCCAATGAACTTAGTCTAGGGAGACCTGTACATCAGGGTACTCCACTCTTCCAGTCTTTTAGAGTTCGATTCCCGGTGGAACCATAATTGTTGTTACTAACCTACTAAAACTGTAAAATAGGAGAGCAACGTAAATTTAATTATCAAGCAAAGCGATCCACCAAAGAATCGGTATATTATTGTGTTTTGTCCCTTACCGTTTGTAACGAGACCAAATACACAGGACAAAGACATAATATATGCAAAGTGTGAATAGTCGTTATTATATTCAGGGTACGAGAGTTCTTCCTGTGAATCACTCGTTGGCACAAGCCGTACAATGGGCTCTAGAGGATGGCTATAGACATATAGACACTGCGTCCCTGTACAAAGTTGAAGACGAGGTCGGCCTTGGCATACGAAATTATGTCAGAGATTCCCGCGTCGATAGACGAGACATATACGTGACTACTAAAGTGAGTAACAACTAGAAATTCTAGCGGCTAAAATAAACGTAAATTATTTTCTTTATATATAATTCGAATACGAACGAACAAAAGCCTCAATTTTTATCTCAGACATAGGTTAAAGTAAATGGATTCATTGTTAAAGGCATTTCTAATGATTCCCAATATGTCTTGATTTGGTTTCATGTGGCAATTTCGTATTTTTTATACAATTTCAAAAATTCAGTAATTTAATTATTTCCATTGAAACTTTAAAAAATAACGATTTGGTGTGTAATGTGTTTTAAAAAATGCATACTTTAATAATTTAAGCAATATTCTCTGTAGTGTATGCACACGCGCCTCATTATTTTTAGTGGCGCAAGACACGATTTTTAGTGGCGCGCAATTTCTATTGTCTTTGACAAATTACAATTTTGCTTATCTGTGGCCACACCCGCACGCTTTGCACGTTTGGCGCCATTCAGACGTTTTATTACTTTGAGATTTCATTCGTTTTTATAATCTTTATATTATAATCAATACTGTTTTAAAAACATGCGTTCATGCTTAATAAGGAATATTAAAATGTTATAGCTGTGGAATGATGCCCATGAGCGCAATGAGGTTAGACCCGCTTTAAGAAAATCTTTGGAAGAGCTGGGACTGGAATATGTAGACCTTTATTTAATGCACTATCCTATGGCTTATAAGGTAAGTTATGTTATATGCAATATTTATCGCAATATAAATTTCACATTCGTGCTGTACAAATTATGCAGGAAAATCTATTTGTATGGTAATATTTAATAACATGAGAATTAACGTTTGAACAATAAATATATGTAATAAATATTGAAAAAAAAACAAAGAAAGATATTTAAGTGTTATTTTTTATTTAGTGGGTTAAAATTGACAAAATTAATTAATAAATTAATTAATTAAATTAATTAATTGGGTTACTTTGACGTAGTTGGATATCGAAAACGTAGATAAATTTTTAAATAAAATTTCACGATATAAGAAGTGTATGTAGTCTTATAGTCATATTATATATTAGCGATGTATTGTAACAATACTAATTTTATAACATTCATTACAATTATAATTATTTTAATTGCAAAGACGATTAGAACGAAAGGAATACTTTTTAAACAAATTCAAACGTAAATTAAGATTCACATAAATATTAATACAGATAAAATCCTACTTAAGCATCTTACTTCCCATTCATAATGCAAAAACAGATTGCACTATACAAACGTAGTGAAAGCATTTTTACATTTTCTAGAATCTAGTCTATTATTAATATGAAAAACTTCGCATTCGAGCGGAAGCGGCAGTTGACAATGAAAAGAGTTTTTCAATGTCAGTCGTGTTTTACTTACCTACATATGAAATGTTACATCTCTTTGTTTTCCATACTTTTATTGAAATTAAATATTTTACGCCTGCATAATATTCATGTATCTTTTTTGTTATGGGACGAGTAGAACGGTCAATTGAGTTACACAGTGGAACGAAACGGGCCGGTAGTGGACTTAGCATTTGAAAAAAAAAAAGTTTTTATTTTTTTATTTTTTAACATTGTGTTGGATTTTTCTATTGATTATAAGAAACTATTACTATGACGAATTTTCAGATAACTTAGTATTTTCGGAGTTATTCATTTTCAAAGTTAATTTTGTATGGAACAAAACAAAAAACAGTGAAAATCTCGTAATTCTCAAATTTTCTCTTGGAATTGACTTAACATGAGCATAACACGTATATTTGTCCTATTTTTACGCTTACTCTCGAGTCTCGATTTTCCCCGATTTGGTCGCAATTTCAACATTTGTTCTCGATTCCTCACCACCCTAAGTGGTATCCCCCTTAGGCCTTAAAACCTAACAAAATAAGTAAAACAAATTAAAAAAAAATACAAACTAGCTGTTTTAATTTAATCAGTGACCAGGATATCAACATTAGCTATTTCAAAATTTTCCTGATCGTCATCATCAAAGGTCTCTGCCCGTTCAATGATCAAACTTTGTGCTTCTTTTGAGAAGGTTTTATGTTTTCTGCCAAATTTGTGTCATTTCGTTGAAATTAGTGGATCAGAGCTGGTCAATAATATTCATGAAATTTGACTACATCAATGTGGTAGCCCGATGAAATTGCCTCTAAAATGATTGCAAACCGCCTTATTAAGTTCTCGCTAACACCTGTTATCTCAGCAGTAATGTTTGGATTTGCAAAAAATCTTCTAGCGGTATTTCCATCATTGGTGGAGCCAAGCCATAGGACCTTGTTTGACAACATCAATCAGAAGGCCCATTCTATTTTTTAAAGCATCCTGTATGTTTTTCTTTTTGCTTTCCAGGATACACTTGGTGTCTCCCTTCACAGCCCATGTCTTTATCGTTAATCTGTAAGCTATATGCAAAATGCATTCCATCATTCGTATCCATATGTGCAATGATGACAATCCGTATCTACAAAGATCTAAATCAGTCTGTTTTGACGCAATTAAGGATAAATTATTCATCTCACTTTGAGTGGCTTTACAAATGTCACATCTCTGAGATGAAGTGTCACATAAAATTGATGTTGCTTTTCCGTCTATCATTGTCATAAATAAAGAGTGTGAAATATTTATTTCCCCGACTTCTGTATCCATCAAATCAGCAGTTTCTTGCTCAATGGCACTTTTTTCCTGCAATATGGTTATTTTGTTTTCTTTCCGAAATTTGAAAAAGATTGGACTACACCAATATGATGAATTCGGGGAATCATTTTGCCAGATAACTTGTTCGCCGCAAACCAATCTGATTGGTACTAAGCTTCCCATGAATATGCTTGAATCATCAAATTGACTTTCTGAAGTGTCGTCGTCTGTTTGGATGGTTTGCTTGTAATTGGCTTGATTAGAAGCACCATCAAATCCCCACTTACTGATAAGTGTTAGTTCCTTATACTTACTGTCGATGATCAGTGGCAGCATTATTCTTCTTGTCGTTATATCCAGTAGAACTTTATTTTGGCTGAGGTTTCTGTCACTTTGATAGCGTCTTTTGATGGATAGCATTCCATTTTCGCATGTTGCACTTGATTATACGATGGAAATATATTGTTGTCTTTTTCGTTAACACTTTTTCTTAATTGTATTGTATTGCCACTTGGTCAATTTAAGTCATAAAAATAACCATAACGCGTCATCCGGAGAAAACGCAGGTTTTGTTTCTTTGACTGATATACACCTTTTAACTTTTTGCACATCTTGTCGATTCTTTAATAAATGTTCTAGTATTTCTGCAATATCCTCATTCCCATCTGCTTTTAATTGCGCAAAATATGCATATGTAATCTCATCCGAAGACAAAAGAAAGCTTTCGGCTCGTCTTTTTTTCTGTTTAACACATTTTTAGAGATCTTTTACAAGTATGCATTATCCCAATACATACTTGCTTTAGTCAGTTTATGATACATAATATGTAAGTTTCGTTTATTATGGATTACTAAATTAAAAAGTCATGACTTCATACAAATTTGAAATTGCTATATCTCCGAAACTACTAGTTAATTAAAAAAAACTTAAAGAATAAAAACGTTTTAAATATATGTCTAAATACCAAAAATATACATTTTATCTCTTAAGACCAAACTTTGAAATTCCAGCCCATCGCTCGGGGACACCTTCAATTGTAGAATTGCAAATGCGTTGCTAGCCTTTAAAAAATTGGTACGCTCTTTTCTTAAAGACCCTTAAGCCTTAAAGGTTTGGATATACCTGGAATGGTTCTAAGCGCTCACAGTGAATGATGAAATGAAGTGTAAATTCTGATTAGAAAAATGATTAACATAAGGCAGAAATGTGTAGCCTTATATGTGTTTAAAAGTATGTTTTAACAAATATATAATACAAAAACAGCTGACTATATATTATGAACCCGTTCCGAAACCCCTCAATAGGGCTTTTTTTAAGTTGACAAGTTAAAGATTTTTTAAGTTTTTTTAAATCTTTATCAATTTCTTGATAAATTGTTTACACGGGTTCAAGTTTTAAGGTCTAATAGACATAGGACTAGACCTTCGACTAGGTTTTACTTCACCGTACATACAAATGTGAATTTTGCAGAGAACGGTCTTGGTGCACAGTCTGGATTTGAATGCACCACCTCATGCATGCCAATTTTACGCTTCACTTTTTAAAAATATAAATAAAATATTTAATGTTGCATAAAAATGTTAAACTAAATTTATAGTAAACTGTGGATACTATATTATGAATAAAAAATTTAAAACCTCTAATAGGAATAGTTGCAACAAACTAACTTTAGAAAATCGGCAACTTCAGACCATTATCTATGCGGCAACTTCAGTGCAAACTTTAAAACATTTTTCAGACCACAATAATAATACTATACTTGCATCATATGAAAAATTTATGAAGCACAACTGTGTATATTTCATGGCGACTACAAGAGTTCTCAACTAGATAAGGCACTCCGCAAAATTGAAATTGTGCGTAATAAATTTCTTAAATAGATGCACTAAATTTTACCAACTTGTTCGTTTATTCTTTTAAAAGAGTTTTTAAATTTATACGGGTTGCACTGAGATATGGGAAAATAATGTTCTTATTTATGTCATAGTCAATTTCCGAGAAGCATTTTCTATGCCACAGTCTTGAACCAAATTTATCGTAATTCAGTTAATTTATTACAATTAATTAAAGCAAATAAAATTTCTTTAGAGCATATAAACGCGGATTTATTACATTTAATCAATGAGAGATAGAACCTCGATTGCTGTAATCGAAACGTCGAGTTATGTAATGCCTGGAAAATAAATGAATAACCCCGCCATATTGCGGTAAACCAGTCTAACTAATTTCTTCCAATGACAACAATCTTTAGGGTGTCATTATTGTCATCTGTCAAAGTGTGGTGTCGTGCCGATTCAAGTGTTATTGTTAGTTATAAGAGCGTTAAAGTTCCGAAAAGTATACAAAGCCAGGTTAGAAAAGTTATTTATAATGTAACGAAATATTTATCGGAAAGTTTTTTTATTTTATTGGACGGGCTTTAAATAATGTAATAAATTCGCGTTTAAAAGATAATATTCACTCAATCCCTGGTACATATATTGTTTATCAACTTGGTTTATTTTAATTATACCCTAATAACCTTAATAATCATTACGTTTAAGTTTAAAAATTATCGTTTTAATAATAAGAAATATTGGAGCTTGTTTATAAAGTCTAACAAAGTCTAATAAAATATAAGTTTATGTTTTTGTGTATATTATATATAAGTCTTGTACAGTATAGATACACAACGCAAACCAGTGGCACTATAACCCTTGGTCGTGCATAGGTTTAAAATTAAGACAAGCCTTGTATCTGCAATAATGGCGAACAAACTGTAGAACATGTTATACATTGCTCTATATTCGCATCGACCAGGCACGACCTGGAGCAACAAACACAGATGACAGTAGACCGTAACAGACCGTGCCTGGAACGGTTCTGCGAAAAAAATACTAAATATCTGAAGAAGGCAAACAATAATATTACATCTCGCGAGATGCGTAACACGAATCAGTATGAAAATGGCAGTAGAAAAAAAACCCCTTGGTCGCAGCCTCAGGATTCTTTATTTATAATAATATAATAATAATAATAATTTTTATTAATCAGACAAATACAGTCCATTGATAGATTAGTGAGTTAGTAACAATAGTTTCTTAAGATCTATGTTAGTAGAATTAGTAAAAATAAGAAAAAAGTAGTTAAACAAAAACTATTAGGTACAAAGCCCTGCGGAGAAGTCGGAGCAGTGTCGTAAATAGGGGCACTCCATTCTTTCGACTATCATCCGTAAGATGTTGCTGGAGCTGCCCCGCACCCGGCGCACCAAAGAAGCGCACCGCTTTCGCATAGTGGCGAAAAAGCAATCCACCCGCGCCTCTGCAAACATTCTTGATGCACTGCAGAAGCGAGGCAGCCCCAGCAACACCCTAAATGCGTTATTATACTGCACCCGAAGCGAGTTGTATGTTTGTCGAGTAAAACTGGCCCACAGGCTGCACGTGTAGAAGTTAGTGCAATATGCTCTGAATAATGTGACTTTTACGTCATGAGAACAACGTACAAACCTACGAGCCAGCATATTTGCTCTCACCGACAACGCTCTTCGTTCTCTCTCTATATCGCCATTATCTTTGAGGTCGGGGAGTAGGACGTGCCCAAGGTATTTAAACTTACTAACTCGCTGTAAAACACAGTTGTTAATAGTAACCGTCGGCACATTTTGTAGTCTCCTCCTCCCTGACCCAAACACCATCACTTGGCTTTTCTTGGCATTATAGATAAGACCATGGGATGCAGCATATTTTTCACAAATAGCTAATAATTTTCTTAACCCGCAGACAGAAGCGCTAAGCAGCACCATGTCATCAGCATAGCTTAAATTGTTAAGGTTAACGCCATCTACGTTACAGCCAATTCTGGTGCCGGTTAACTCCTCTATCAGCTCATTTACATACAAGTTAAAAAGTATGGGAGAAGTCAACCCACCTTGCCTCAACCCACACTCCATCCTATACGGATCCGACAGGACACCCTCCCAACGCACACTATTGACCTGACTTTTGTACCAATATTTAAGAATATTTATGGTATCCTGTGGTAAATGGATTTTTTTCAAGTTTTTTCCACAGCAGATCATAGGAAACAAGGTCAAATGCCCTGGACAAATCCAAAAAACATGCGAAGACAGGCGTCTTACGTTTAACATAATAGTTAATAGTATGCTTAAGACTCAAAATAGCACCATCTGTGGACAGCCCAGGTTTAAAACCAAATTGGTTATCGTGTGGCTTTATATATTTACTTAATTGAGTGTTAAGCACACCATCAAACACTTTTGATATAATGGTTGCCAGAGATATAGGCCTGTAGTTATGAATATCGGCGAGATCGCCTGTCCTATTTTTAACTATTGGAACTACAATACTACTTATCATATCTCTAGGCATGTAACTATGCGCTATACAAGCATTAAATAGAAGAAATAGAACGCGAGGCAAGTGTGGGCCTGCAAACTTTAGATGCTCGATGCTGAGACCGTCGTGCCCCGGTGACTTACGTCTAACCATAGACTTTATAGTGCTATCTATTTCTTTAATAGAAGGTTTCAAACTTATGCCACCTTTACACTGGGTCACAGCATCTAGCCTCGACTGTGAGGGCCCAATCGGCGATTTAACTGTAAAGTAATTAGCAAATAGATCACCAATTTCCTTGGGCTCACACACTCCGTTGACACTCACAGGGAGGCCCGACTTATCTTTTAATCTATTAGTACATTTCCAAAAAGACCGAAAATCATTCTTAGCGTGATGAGCAGCCAAAATATCCATTTTTATTTGGTCTTCGTTATTTTGGCACCATCTCAAGCGTGACTTAAAAATTTTACGACTCAAAATCATTTCTTCATATAACTTTCCTTGTAAAGGCTTACCGTGCTCTAACCATAGGCCAAATTTTTGCCTGGCCTCTCTGTGATGCCCTTGTACATGCTTATTCCAACCTACAATCGGTTTTTTTTTTTTTGTACTGACTTACAAGTTTTAACAGAAGATGCCGAAAGGGCCAGAATAATATTGTCATATAGCTTATTAATTACTTTTCTATGACTAAGATTACTACATAGCTTATCACTACAATAACGAAATTCAGGAGGAAAGTCAATATGTCTCAACCTGTCATGACATTCTCTCTGATACATTAATATTTGTTCATGTGTTCTTTCCCCCCAAACCACTGCATTATTATAGTTATTTAAATGTATTCGTTTTTTAACAACCATATCTAAATTACACTCAATAACCAGCGGCATGTGATCTGACCAAAAAACATCATACATGACATACACATTTTGAATAGTCTTCGCCGCGGCTTTAGTTACTAAACAATGATCAAGCCACCGCCGTGACCCGTTAGCATCACTTACAAACGTGTACGTATCAGAAGTGACACCTAAGCATTCAATATCAAAGCAACACCATTCTTGCTCTCTTACAAAATTATCCATTTCATGATAAAAACGTTCATATGGATGAGCATTAAAGTCCCCTAAAATGTATGTATTTTCTATCGCACAACTGTCTATTATAGCACTTACCGAGCTAAGGACATCCGTAAACTCGGCTACATTTACCGCCTCGTCCGTGGGCATGTACACACTTAGCACTAGGAATGGCTTATCATTTGAGATCACTTTAATCGCACACACACGCGGGCTATGACACTCAATCACTGAGACATTTTGAAAGATGCTCTTTCTCCAGAGCAGGGCAACACCTCCGTATGGCCGACCTCTTAGTAAGCCAGCCTCCGCATCCATTGACGATACCCCCGTGCCACTGAATTCTTGACTTATGGTACTAAGAAGTGGCATCTCCTCCGAGAATAACCATGTTTCTTGCAATGCTACAATATCCACAACTTTACACATATTACGTAAATCATCGATGGACCGTTTTACGTTCTTACAATTGAAAGAAGCAAATTTATACGTTGGTTCCAGATTCATAATATTAACGTATGGAAATCGTGCTGCCGTCCTTCATAGACATTTCAAACTTACGCTTTATTTTGAAGTGAATAAAGCGACGGAAAATGATGCCTTCTGGCCACATTCCATGATCCAAATAAACTGAAAGTTTTTTCTGTGAGACAAAGAATTTAAAAGCATTGTAGTCACAAGTGCGCTTTATGGAGATCTTTTCTAAGCTGACAGTGTCTCCAGTTTTTTCCTTAATATAATTTATTATGTCCGACTCATTTGTACTTTTGTGGACATTCGTTATGAATAGAGGTGTTTTTCTTTCTGCAGCTCTACACAATTCCTTCGAATTCACTGCCAGCGTACCCGTCTTTCCCTCCATTCGATTTCTATTAGGTTTTCTCCTTCTTTGTACAACTTTCCATTCTGAGTTGATGGAATTAGCGACAGCGGAGTAAGTCTTCTTATTTTCAGTGTCGTTAATAGTTTGTTGACGGTCTGCACTTAGTGAGTCATCACTACTTTGCGCCAAACCGGTTTCATTCACTCGAGGCGATAGATTCACTTGAGGCGATAAATTTCTAGCAGAGTTATTACCCGGACTAGAATAATCATCATCATTATGCGCATTCCTACTGTTACCGAATGCACCCCTCTTCGTATTAACATTATTATTATAAGTACAGGGTGAGGGTACCGTAGTATTTTGTTTATTTCTGCACAATGTTCTTAAGTTTTCAAACTGCTCAGTCGTGACATACGATGACTTGATTAATGCGATATCAGCCTGTACCCTGGACAAATCTTTCAATAGCTTTGAGACATCCAGGTGGTCGAAAGTTAATGGCGGTAGTTTATCCAGGTCGCGGGCCACAAAAATAGGCAAAACATCAGGGTCAGTAATTTTAATAAAACTGAGCATATCGTATAACAAACGATCTTTTTCCTTTCCTTTTCCTCTTCTTCCCGTTTTTCTCACTTCGGCCGGTACCGATTCAAACAATAACGAATGCGATTTTTGAATTTGTTCCTTTGTGAATGTCGATGCACATATTTTTACTAATGTGACCTCATCCGATATCGATATTTTATTCTGTATATATGACAGAAGCTCATCGATTACAATATTGCAATTATTGCACTTAATTAAGGACGCCATCTTGCAGGGAATGCGCTCCCGCAACAAATCGCGCGTACGTTTCGTATCAATGCGCGCGCAAGACTGCTTTATCTCTGAGGTTATCAGTTCTGCACCTGACACGCTTTTCTATAAGTCATGTCTTTACAACAAATAAATACCGCACGGGCAAGCATAATTATCAGCTAAGCGTCATGAGAAGTAACAAAATTAAGTGAATGAAATGAGGCTTACTTTAACTCTTATTCACAGAAAGACGGTAATATTAGTCGAACAGACTACGTGGAGACGTGGAAGGGTTTAGAAAACGTGAAGGAAGCTAATCTAACCAAATCTATTGGCGTGTCAAATTTCAACTTGTCACAAATGCAACGACTCTGGGAACGCAGTAGAATTAAGCCAGCCGTTTTACAAATAGAGGTATGAATTCTTTAGTCATTTCTTCTTTGCTAACATGTTTTTATTCATTTGCTAACATAGAGATAATTCCGCATATGTTAAACACTTCAAGTAACCAAGAGTTGATAGTTTTAAATCGTCTGCAAAAACTTTTTGAATATTAGCGTTTGATAATATTAGCGTCACGAAGATGTGCAGCGTTTTTGTCGAAGGAAAGGGAGAGAGCGATTGAGACCGATTGAGAGAGAGTTAGAAGGGCGAATTACCTTGTAGAAATTCTATTTTTAAAATTAAAATTTCGTAAAGAGAATTTATGAAATATTAGTATTTTATATTTTATGCAAAATAATTTATTGAAATCTCAATTGACGATTTGTTATCGAAGAAATAAATTAAAAAATTAAATATATAATTTGTATTAATTTTCGACCCTTAATATTTTAATGACAATTAAATTCATTAAATTCCAAACATATCGTCATTTTGCCCTCCCTCTAAGTCTCGAAAATCTAAAGTTTTAGATTTGTATAAATATGAACAAGACTTAAAAATTTGTTTGCCAAAGAAGTTTCACTTCTGACATGTGTAATTTGCACGCACGCACTTATTTTTAAACGATTCTACGATCTATCTTTATTATTTAATACTAATACTTTCATATATGTCGTCAGGAGGTAAAAGTTTCATCTCTCGAAGGGCTTTTAATTGATTTTAATAAAGAAATTGGTTTAATTAAAAAGTTTCTTGACCTTAAAATTCGGCATCATTATCTGATAACTTCTCTATAGGCAAGTAGGTCTTCTGTATTTGAGTATTAATTATGCACGTAGAAAAATAAGTTTTCGTAGAATCAGGTTAATAACATTTTCAGGTAAACCCTACAATACTACAATAACCCAAAATGAATTAGTAAATTGGTGCAATGATCATGGAGTCGTGGTGATGGCTTACAGCCCATTTGGTGCGATACTGGGGCGAAAGAAAGATGCACCGCCACCACGTGCGGATGATCCGATATTGATGAAAGTCGCAGAGAAATATAATAAAACTGTCCCTCAAGTTTTACTCAGATATTTGGTGAGATTTTTTGTTTCATATAACCAAGCTTCTTCATTTTTAATCGTGCCCTTAGTAAGTGGAATTGGTACATCATGTCTTATGATGCACAATCTATTTATTATTTTATGTTCATTTCAAATTTTAACTTCTCTTCGCACAATCAGAATATCATTCTTGGCTAGGTAAAAATGTTTATAAAAATATTGATTTATTTTACGTCAAACTATTTATGTATTTTGTTTTTTACTTTGAAAACAAGTGCAATAACGAATTCTGGAAAACCAGACAAAATCATCAATATTAATCATTCGGTGATTTTTATAACTATAATTTTGCAATGTACTCACGAATGCTTAGAAGAGGAGAAAGTCTAGTACTTAAACAGCTGGTTACATTACACATTAGAAAACCAATTCACGACCAATCCAGGGTCCAATTAATTAATTATCAGATGAAAAATACACGTTAAGTGAAAGTTTATTTTTAATATTAAACTTAATAATGCCTCACTTTTGTGTCGCAAAAATGTTCAGGACGATTAATAAATTTTCCAATAATTTTATTCCGAGAAAAATGTATGCTATTTTACAAAATTAAGGGACAGGAAAACTACACTTTATTTTTTTAAATATATATATATATAGCAAAGTGCTCTCTCACACATAAGAGTTTAACACATTTAAAGTTAAATTTGATTACATCGTATTCTTGAATATGTTAAAAATCTAATTTCCCATTTCCGAATTTTGAACTCGCCTCAACCTAATTTAAATTCAAGCATTTGGATGAATAAAAATAAATAACATTTAAAAATATGACACTTGTAGTATTTGCATTGTTATTTTACTAGAAAAAGCTCTTTTTATTTATTTAATATTAGGTTTACTTGTTTCGCTCGGGTGCATATTTTTATACAAGGATCAAATGAGAAGATCCCACTTAAACTCCCCTTTAATTTTAGAACTAACGACGTAACATAATTTTAGAAATAGGAACAGGGAGAAGCTCTTACCTTACGGATATAGGCTAGGTATATTAAATAAAATAAAATAAAAATCATTTAATTCAGACCATTAAAAAGTCCATATATTGTTAGTAAAGTAATACTTATAACTATGTTAGTAAAATTAAAATTAAAATTAGCAAAATTATTAAAGACACAAAGAAGAAAACATTTAATTCATATATCTACGTTGATTCGAGGCACCAGGTATACGGGCATGTATATGAACCCAATGTCTCAAAACAGCACATTCGGGTTTACCTATAACCATCAGGATATTGTTAGAACTCGCACGAACCCCACGCATCAGTGAGGCTGTCCGTTTGCGGATGATTGACGAAAAATCATCCACGTGTGCATCCGCAAACATACCTGATGCGCTACAGTACCGCGGGAGCCCCATTAAATAAAAAATATATATATTTACTATAAAACGAAACGATTCTGGTCAACATTCAGCTAATTCACAACACGCAACCTAAGTTATTAAAATAATATCTCATTAAAAATAGTAGTATTGTGGTTCCTTATCTACACTAGAAATATATTAATTCTTATTATATTTTTGATAAATAAACGACTCAGTTAATCGAAAATCGACGTACAAAAGATTAACGTAGAGCCAAGTCATTAATAGTTAATTTTTTCAGTTGGACCGAAAACTGGTGGCTATTCCACGGTCGATGAACAAAGACCGTATCAAGCAAAACATCGACCTAATGGATTTTTCACTCACTTCTGAAGAAGTTGAGGAGCTGTCAAGCTTTAACAGTAATTACAGACTCCGGACACCAGCTAAGTGGTATCCGCACCCACATTTCCCATTCGAGAAAAAGAACCTTACTGAAATTGAAATAAAGCACATAATCGCGAACAGTAAAGATGACTGAGATAAAGAAATCTTTGATTTCCACATTCGAATTACAATATTGCGGTTAAAAAGTTTTGATTGGTGATAATTGAACCCGGAATTTCCATTAAGCAGTCTTATATTTTACGAGCACAAATATTACAAAGTTTGCCTTTGTTAGCGTACTTTCGAGATTTTCCTTGTGTTTAATGAATTTGTTTTATGTGACGTTTATTATAATAAGATTTCTGTTTAATTTTGTAGGTAATTAATGTTTTCTAAATTGAGTTATGTGCTTTTACTTTAAATTTTTTGTTACTCTTCCCCGCAACGCCAAAGATTAAAAAAAGAATACTGAATAGTGGAATATCTCTAGACCTTATAAATTCATCAATGCAATACAGAATCACAGATGATTAATATTAGCGACCAAACTAGACTCGCAGTGCGTTCAGATATAATTAATTAAAAATAAATTAACTTAGAAGTAGAAAAACTCGTATACTCTTTCGTGAACAATTACGTAGCTAATATAGCGAAGTATTCAGGAAATAATATATAATAATATAATATAATCTTTTAATCTGGCGAATAAATTATCCTCAGCTAATCAATTTATAATTACGAATTTAATAACTTTCCCAAGTACTCTTTTGTCTCTTTCTGTCAAATTGTGTTTACGCTACGATGAAAAGAAAAACATGCAAACTTTAGTTAACACAGTGCAATTAAACTGATTTAGTTTTAATAGCGTGTTTTTATTTTATCCATCACTAAAACTGAAAAAATGGAATTTCATAAATGTAATCAATTTTTAATTACTTTCAGTTTTTCCCCTCTATTCTAACGTCTGCGTTTGAACAATATTCAATTATTGGAAAATTAATTAAGTTACAAGCTAGCAATAAGAAAGAAATATTTATTAAATTCAAAACCTCATCGAGTATGTGGAAAGTATTAATAACTGATGTATCTAATTTACCTTATATACGCGACGTTGATAATTACTTTTAATTTTTATTAAAAAAAAAAACATATATGTAGTTATTAAGACAAAACTAAACAGGAACAAAAAAATACTAAAAAAAAGGATACATGAAAAATAAAAGTGCACATCACACATCAGTCTCACGTCAGTTAACATATTGTAAAAAAAAAATCAGCTTTTATTGTCGAAGTTGTTAACTGTTTGAGTGTATGATTCTAAAATGAATGAGTGAGCCAAGGCCAAGATTCATGAGCGTGTTAGTCTCAAGCCTGAAGTCGTGCGTCCGAATCACGGCGGAAAGAAAATACGGCGGTCAGAAGGTCACCAATAAAACGCCAATACCAAGTATTGAAGCGCCGCTGTATTTTCAAAAATGAATTACTGTTTCTGTCTATTGATTTTGCTTGACCTAAAGATACTGACCAACACCAGTTAACCAACGTGATTTTTTAAGTATATTATGTCCTAAATCTACTTATATATCCTAGTAATTAGTAATAAGTAGTAGTAAGTCAAGTGTCGCTATCCGATCATTTTATACATTATATATATATATATATATATATATATATATATATATATATATATATATATCTCTTATAATATATAATACTTTGAAAATGAAAAAATATATATAAAATCCTGTCAGACGTAGGCTGGATTGCATAGCGAGAAAATTGACGAAGTCTAGAACGGTAATTTTAAATGCCATATTCCTAAAACTATATTTAAATCAGCCTGGGTATTTCAAGAACAAATTGAAAATCGAATCATTATTTTTACCAGCCAGTGCTCTAAACGCACAATGGCTATACATTCAATGAGGTTTTACTAACGGGACTAAAATTTTTAGATTAAAAAATACAACGTAGGTAAAACGAGATACACATTACTAATGTTTTAGTTTAATATAAAAGCTACGTCTCTTCGAATTAATAGCAAACGAAATAGCTCCTTTGAAGTAGCAGAGTAGGACATAATATATAATGATTAAATACTTACCTTAAAGGAGCTGACTTAGTCTTTTTAATCTTCTTAGTCTATGTACAAACTAATTGAATTCCTTTAACCGAGCTTATAAAGAGTGCCGCTTTCTTTAAAGCTTTGAAACTCGTCGCTTAGTTGTTAGAAAAAGGCACCGCGTGTTTTTCTAATATTCTACTGCGTCCATGGCAATAGTCAAATGCTTTGTTTATTACCCTGTCGGTTCGAGTCTCAGCGAAAGAATATGTTTCAAATTTCGAATATGTAAGATCTCATTTGAGATTTCAGAATAAATGGCTCAGTCTCGTAAAGCAATATTTATCGTAGTCATAGGTTTGAGTCTTACTTAGATTTGAGTCGTGACTTAGCGTGAACTATGGATTCCATGTGTCAAAATCCAGTACATTTCTGACATACCGGAGTCCTAATCCTACATCTTTAACATAATCTAATTGAGCGTTACCGACCCGGTAAAATCATGGATAAACTTTTGATAATATGTAACCGTCATTGCTTTAGAAATAATCTCATCTCTGTCATTATTAAATAATAAAACAATACAATCCAAGTAATAAGTGTAAGTGTCCCACACTTGAGGCGAACAATATTTCCCTCGACCGTAGAGGTTCACATTCCAAATTGCTTTATAATGCCCTGAGCTATCGTTTCATTTCTTCACTGCGAAGCACTAAAAATACAATTCTTTTAAAGTAACATAAGCTCTTCTGAGAAACCGCAATATGATTCTAGTCTTCCGAAGCGGGATTCGTCTCGGAATATTAATGAAAGCAAAATCATTCGGATATTAGTATTCGGAAGGGAATCGATCGCATTTTTATTCGTAGCGAATAAATCCAAGCTGAATTCTTAATGTGTATTAATTAGGAGGATGCCTTTACGGATTGAATGTCTTAATGTTGGCTGAGGGGCGTGTATCAATGGAGTTTCTGATTCTTTGATGTAATTGGCTAATTTGTTGTCTCCTCTGATGTTCTACTTTTATCGACATTTACGTAAATCTGTTAAATATAAGATATTTTTTGCGAAGACGAGTAATTATGAAAATATAAATTGTTAGAGAAATTTTGCGTACTGACATCATAATATTTGATGGGAAGGAATATTGCATGCTTTCTTTTCCATTCGGGTGCTTGGACTTGCCGGACGTGTGATAGATCATCTTCTATGGATTTGTTTTCTTAATTAAATACGGTACGTGGTTACCTGTTATTCATAAACGAGGGCGAAGGTGGTTACCTGATGGTGATTGAAGATTGCTGTTCTTAATGTGATATTCAGAAACTTAGGGCTCTCCCATACGTCAAAGACGTACTGCATTTTGAGGTCATCAAACTTTGCATTAAATCACGTTTCTGTATCTTAGACATCAAACATGTTGGCTCACAAGTAAGTTGGCTTTCTTTCAGGTACGACCAATTTTTAATTATTAATTTATATATACCATTTATTATATATGTAATACTTCTCCCTCCTTCGTGTCTTACACGATATTTAATTATTTCGAGCAATTTTCGGAGACACAGTTCCTAAAAAGACAATAATGTCTTTTTGTTTGCAACACATTGCATAAATCTTATTAAAAAAATTGTTTAATGATAAACTTTACAGGATTGATTAAATTACCACAACGCTTAGGTTTTGCAAGCATTTGAAAGCATTGAAAATTTACATAAATAAATGTGATTAATTTGCAATAAAAGATCTAAAGATTTGTTTTAATCTAATTAATATTGTACTCTATTGTTTTCTAGCGTAATATGTAGTGTTGAGCCGAACTAATGTGTTGCCGGCGCGTGGCTGCCGTATTAATGTCGGAGCTCAGGAGTACTGTGGCCTCATATAAATGATACACCTACTTGTAGCTTGTAATCTTCTGTACTAAGCTGTTTTATAAATTGTACGTCGTACATATTAGCTATTCACTTGTTTTATCAATATTACAGTTTTTTATTGGGACTTTAAAGTTTAACGTAATGCGAATAAATGCGTTATATTTTTATATTAATCCCAAATCGTATCAAAATAGTATCAGCGGATTTCTACGATAAAGACACTTTACACAAAAAGTATCGTCTATCCGCTGCCATCACTTAAAAATTAACAATAGTAACACTTAATGTGTAAAATAATAAGGGTATTAAGGGCAAAACATCAAGATATATGAGGCTTATGAATAAGGCTTTTCAGGAACACTGCCGGGAGTTATATCAGTTTTCCTTCAATGTGATTGGTGAACGGGTATTTGGTTATATGACTATTAAAAACTTCTTTAACGTATAATAAACGTGATCTTTTTACATTATTACTGGATGTTTCACATACTTTACAAAAGTACTTGTCATCGAAAGATAGAAGTACTTTTACTTCAGTAATGCTTCACCATTTCCAAACCAATTCAACCTTCAAAAAACAAGCGTACCATTACTTAAACTGTGCCAAAAATCAATCTGGAACTATTTAGGAAAAATACCTTTTGTATGGCAATTAATGTGTACAATAATTTACCAAAAGAATTAAAAGATCTTCCGACTAGAGTCCTGAAAAATCGACTTGGTGTTTTACTTATTAAAATGTATTATTCAATAAATGATTATTTGCATGAGACATTGTAGTAGATATAAATTTAATAACGTATGATATGATATGTACGATAGAAATAATATACGGATTGACCAATAATGTAAAATGTAAAATTCCTTTAAAGATAAATTTGCGCGCCATTGTGTGTGGCAGAATATGCGAACTTACGATTGTACCACCTTACACATATTTGTACCATATTGTTGCAATAAATTATTACATATTATTAAAAGGCTGGCGCCCTCTGGCATTGAGAGTGTCCATGGGCGGCTGTATAACTTAACAACAGCCCTTCGGCCCACAACAAAAGAAGAATAGATAGACTTCCAATCAATAGCACGCATGTAATAGCGATTTTTCTACTCCCATGTTAACAAATCACACAAGGCCCCAGTCTCAAATAGTTACATAATCAAGCTTAGTTCTTTTCCTATATTTTATCTTTATTACGAGGGACTTACGCTATA